ATTTTGACCGATTCGTGTCAGTATGACCAGCATCAGTGTATCTTGTTGGTTGGTAACAAACAGACACATTTTGACAAGTTTGTCAGTATGACCAGCATCAGTGTATCTTGTTGGTTGGTAACAAACAGACACATTTTGACAAGTTTGTCAGTATGACCAGCATCAGTGTATCTTGTTGGTTGGTAACAAACAGACACATTTTGACAAGTTTGTCAGTATGACCAGCATCAGTGTATCTTGTTGGTTGGTAACAAACAGACACATTTTGACAAGTTTGTCAGTATGACCAGCATCAGTGTATCTTGTTGGTTGGTAACAAACAGACACATTTTGACAAGTTTGTCAGTATGACCAGTATCAGTATATCTTGTTGGGTGGTAACAGACACATTTTGACAGGTTTGTGTCAGTATGACCAGTATCAGTATATCTTGTTGGGTAGTAACCAATGGACACATTTTGACCAATTCATGTCAGTATGACCAGTATCAGTGTATCTTGTTGGGTGGTAACAAACGGACACATTTTGACAGGTTTGTATCAGTATGACCAGTAACTGTGTATCTTGTTGGGTAGTAACAAAGACATTAAACATATCAAACCTTTGAATGCATCAATGAACTTCTTCTGGAGGAACGGTTTGTCTTCCTGTGTCCTTATGTTCTCCAGTGCCTCCTCCTCAAATGTCTGTTCTGCATCTTTCCCACCGCTGCTCTGCTCCACATCTGGTTCCAGTTTATCTGAAATAAAACCCAAATTAGAGCTTTTCCTTATTCATCGTTAGCAACCTGAGCGTCATGAAGGGAACTCACCTTCAAGCTYGACCCCGTCCAAAGAGCTCCCTTCAGACTTTTCCAAAGAACCCTTCTCCTTCGCCAACAGCAGTTTGGCGATCTTGGCGAGTTCAACCGCCGCCTCCGGTGATAGGTAGTACTCCCGGTCYGAGCGGATGTCGTGGCCGAGCAGTTTGGCGAGGTGCTCGAGCTCGTCRTTCTCCAGGTTGAGAATCTGGAAGACTCTCGCCATGTGCTTGAGATGATGTCCCAACCAAAGATGGTCCGGGTACTCTACGTGACACAAMCCTGACAACATCTTGATGCAGAGCCCTGCTTGGTAGTGACTGKCGGGGGACGCGTCCGGCTTTGCAAACAAGTAAGGATTGTCTTCATGCACGCCACAGGCGAGCCTCTTGCTAATCAGCAGTGTCAAAGCACTGACAAGCTGWGAGGTTAACAAAACGGTAACGTTTGGACCGCCTTCACTCAGAAAAACAATCCTGATGAAGTGTTTGGACACGATCTGGGAAGAGTCTTCCCTCTCCTGGAAAGACTTCAGGGACATCTTTGAAACATCTGCAGTAGATTTGCTGAGGATYGAGGTCTGTGCTATCGTCACCATGCAGAGAGTAGTGTAGACCTGAGCGTTTACAGCGCTTTTCAGGTTTTCAGTGGCAGAAGCCGATAACGTATCCAGGCATTTGTAAAATGTTTGTATGTCCCGTGTGAACGGTACCGTAGACGGGCTGATCACCGTCGCTCGTTTRGGGACGTGTCGACTCCACGCCACATCGCAGCTTTTCACGAATGTCCTTGCGTGACTCTTCATCGTTTCACTGCTTCCAWCGTCACTGAGGACAATTCTGCAGATTCTCTTCAGCATTTTGTTTAACCTGAGAGCAAGGCTCTGATTGATGTAGGTCTGGTTTACTTTATTAAAACCCACCATTCCTTTCATGCAGCTAATGAYGTGGAGGAAGTTCTCGGGTTTGATTGCGTCCTCTAAACTTAACATACCCTTWTTTTGCAGTTTTAACAAGAACCTCCCCATTTCGCTCAGGTTCTGTCGGATGCTCTCCTGCTTGTTTGCGACATTCCCAAACTTATGGGTCAAACTTTTGGCCATCTGGAGCAGAAGACGATCGTTTTGAATCGCAGGTGAAATCTCATCTGGACTCAGAGAGGAAAGTATCGTCGTCACATCAGGAGTAACCTTCTCCGACTCTGAGGGTTTCTTGTCACAGACGGTAACGTGACTTAACAGATCCGCACGTTTGAACAAACCTTYACAATACGAGCAGTGCTGGGATCTTTTTCTAGTGGTCACGTTTCTTTCTGGTTGCTCTTTTTCTTCCGACACTTCGATGTCAGTCTTCAGCACCTCTTCGCTGTGTCTGTAGTTACCTTTCTTTCTGAAGATTTGTAAAAGTTTTTTACGTTCAGCGGATTGTTTAGGAAAAGAAAAAGCCCTGTCAATCTCAGGCTCTTCATTTGCGTGTCTTTTTAAGTGACGACTGATTTTAGCGACCCCTTTCCCACAAACGAAACAATAGTTTTGGTCCAAAACTCTCTTGGTAGAAGGTGCTTTTTTGTGCTTTAATACATGTTTTTTATTCAAGTTACGTTTTCTTGGAAACTCTTCCTCCAGTCGCTGAACATATTTTTCTGTGATTTCTTGAGAAGAATCCAGCTCTGTAACCTGCAAACTGTCCTGGCTAYGTTTACGAATCTTTTTGGGTTTTTCACAGTCGGAGCAGGACTCGTCACAGTAAGAGTCTGCTGCAGTCTTCATCTGAAACCATAAAGGTTAAAACACATTATATACATGTTTTAGTTTAGGGTTTTACATTTTAGAAAATCAAAAAGATCCCATCTTTATCCATTTAGAAAAAAAATGTAAACATTATGGAAAAGTAAAAACAAAATGCAGTTTTATTCTTGTCTGAGTTAAGAGTTAAATATGGAGGACCAAAACTGACATAATTACAAATAAAAGCATAAATATATAAATTAGGGATGCACGATAACTTATTCTAAGAACCGATACCAATAACTTTCTCCTTTTAACAGCCGATAACCGATAATATGCCAGGAGATAAGACTAGTCAAAAATGGGTAAGATCATAACATAAATAAGACCAAAAAATAAAATGACACTAAATTATAT